GCTATTTTGGAAAAGTTAACAACAGTTGTAGATGAAGACCAAAGATGGAATATTTCTGAAGACTTGTGAAAATTATGGCATCTGAGTAAGAAGTCGTGGGTCCCTTGTTTCCCACGTCGCCCAAAAGATGCTTTTGTATTTTGTCTTTTGCGTCGGCGGTCTAAAGTAAAGATTCGCCAGTTGTATTTGTCTTTTGTGTCAGCAGCCTAAATAGTAAAGGTTTGCCAGTTGTAACTACTTTTGTTTAGATGATAACACGTGTATGTATAAGATGTGTTATCAGAAAGATAAAGTCTGGTTCTTTGTCTATAAAAGGCCTCTCATCTAGAGGAGAAGGACACAACTCTTCCGAGCCTTAAATTTCTACCTCTCTTTGAGTCTCCTTCCTAGCTAAGAACCCTGGCTCCGAGTCTGTAAAATTCTCTGTAAGTTTTATTGTATAAATGATAATATATTTTGAAGATGGTTATGTTTGGATATATTTGTATGAAGATTATCTTAGACATGATTATCGTGTTTTTGTAAAATTCTTTTTACATCGAATTTCTTATTTTATTCCCATATTAATTTATATTGAAGATTGGCGCTCTGATGAAGAATATGAGAATATTATCCATAATTTTGAAACATTAAGGACTCTTACTGAAAATATAGAACCCTTAATAAATGAATTTATTTTCTTTTAAAATTCAGCTCCTCTTTCTTTAATTAATATTAATATTCCGCTCCTCTTTTATGAATATCTGGTACCATATATATATATAATACAACTAGAGTACAATTTATAATTTCAATTCAACATCATTTTTTAATTAAATAAATATGCAGTATTCATAATTCCGGATATTCTACTTTAATAAAACTGTAACTAAAACAAAGAACTTAGTCTGTGACTTTATATAATCGTCATTCAAATAGACCTTTATAAGAAACTTAATTATAAACTTCTTCTCATTATTTTTCTTTTAAAACCATTCCACACTCCTTAATAACTTTCGAATATAAACTCCTAAATTTGAATCCATGCATTTCTCATCAATGAATGGCGACTATACAATGTTCTAATTGTTAGGATTGTCAAATTTGTGAGATGTTGGTTAGAAAATGACTCCTGTCAAGCTTTGAAGCAAAAGAACAACAACAACACACACAGAAAACAAACAGAAAAGAAAAAGAAAAGAAAAAGATGCTTTAATCTTTACTATTATTATATATTATATAATAACTTGGTTGTGCTCTCTCAGTCTCTCTCTTCTTTTGTCTTTGATTCTAAGGCTACCAAAGGCCAACCACATAATTGATATCAACCTGCCGGAAAATGCCATCAATGATTAAAAGGGCATCACATTTAATTTAATTTAATCGATTGTTGTTCTCAATTAATCTCATATATTCCTATATAAAAACAATGATATATATTACCAAAAACCAAAATAAAGTTGTATAAAAAACTGATATTATTACCTAATCATGTTGTAATTTTCAATTTTTTAAAAGTGACAAAACTAAAACCTTCTGATCTTACGTGCCATGTATATATTATAGGGATACAGAGGAAGAAGAAGATGGTTGTTCTATGTTAGCAAAAGAATGACCAAAAATGGGAAAAAAAATATGGTAGAGCAATTTAGGCAGTTTGGATCATTTTATTTTTAGGATGGGGTATACAAAAGACCTCTTTGTCGAATGCGTCTGAATAATTTTATGAATGTTTCTATTTTTTTTAATTATAATTCATTATTAAAATCAATTGTTATTGAAAATGAAAAATAAATCACAAATAAAGTTTTGAAAATCATTATTGAATTAATAACCAGAATTCCAATTCACTTTTTCAAGTTTCCCATCTTCCTTGTCATGGAGAGGAAAAGGTAAAAAGAGTAGATAAAAAAACAAGGAGGCAAAAGTGGGGGAAGAATCTCATTCTCTGTAATTTACCACATGATTTTCTACTTCATGTCTTTTCCCTTATTCATACAATATCTTGTATCGGACATCATCGTTGCCCTTTTACTTCTTTCATCTTAATTTCTCCTTCATGTGATGTCTTCTGTATTATCCGTACTGTCAAGCCGAGCTTAAACTCGGTATTGAAGCGCAGGTGGACATCGGATACGCGTCGCATGACATGGCCAAGACAAAGGCACACTATCTGAACAGGTCACAACCGACCTCAGGCCCAAGGCCTAGATAAACCCTAATTTACACTAAGATACGTGCATTACATATACGAAACTTATACACTCACAAACACTAACTTTAGCATCAAAGTCTCTTTTGCAGGTACCACTCCCACTTTGGAACAGCGAACGCATCCAGCGAAGGAGACTCACCAATCTTGCTCAGCAGATCGTCCCCTACGACCGATCTCCAGTAAGAACATCTTCTATAGTTAAAGCATGACATTCCTTATCCAAATATGATAAAATCCAACAAAAGAATGAGTTTAATTGAATCGTGAAATTAAGTAAATTACATTCACACTTTTAAGATTTCGTAAAATGTTGCATATGCTTTATACTTATTTTATAACTACACTAGTTCTTCTAATTATTTAAAAAATATTATACTGACACCTCTTATATATTACATTGACCGTTTTAATTGTTTAAAAATTACATTGAATTAGAATTGATCATTTTGGGTCAGACTAAGTCAAAACTACCTCAAACCTTAATTACATTGAATTAGATCCTTTTTGACATCTTTACCTAATGTAACCGTAATACTAGCCCATTACATGTGAGGACGTGCTCATGCCAACGCAAATTCAAATTCCAAGTACAATGAATCACAGGACCAAGCTAAATTATTCAATAGAAATAATATGAATTGTTTTAAGTCACATATAATTAACTGAATTTTAATGGATAAAAAAATAAGTGAATTTTAAGTTGTTCCAACTAAAGTGAAATTCTAGAATATTGGTTTTGAATCTTCACAATAACTGGTCCAAATAGTATCATCTCTCTTTTTATTGATTGTAATGTTAATTTTAGCGTCACACTTCACAGTTCATCACCATTGATCTTCTTCTTTACTTTCCTTTTTTGTCCGTTTAGTTTTGGATAATATATCATCGGCTTGAGTCACTTGTCTCGCTCACCATTGAAATTGAAACCCAAAGCATTACAATTTAAAAACCGCTTAACCCCGTTGTCTTCAAAAAAAACACCCGTTATGTGCCTCTTGCCACTTGTGTCCTATGTGTCCAAATTTCTCAACTTCGCTTTCCATTTACGTCACCCACCTTCCTATGTGCTATCCATTCTCACACCGCCGACACAAAACCCAATCCACACTTAAATTACGAAAAACGATTATTTCCATTTCCTTCAAATTTTATAAATATAATATTTATATTTATTATATACAATACTTATAAATCTTCACCATACATACTCATAAATGTTTAATTTATCTAAAATTTTACTTATATGATCATTTAAATATTGTCATACATGATTCAACGATAAATTTACAAATTATGTGTTTTTATAAAAATATTAAGTAAACATAAAAAGTTGATAAAAATATTTTATTATAATTACTCTAAATTAATAAAAAAAAATGATAAAGAATTTGTCAATTTGTATAATACAAGCAAATTCAATTTGGCTTTGGAAACTCCATTTCAATTATCCTCTACCTACTGTGATATTGGATATGCGCCACACGACATCGGTCAAGATAAAGATTCATTACTTGAAAAGATCATATCTGATCTCAGGCCCAAGATTCAGATAAACCTTAATTCATACTAAGGTACATGCATTACTTATACGAGACTCATACACCTACAAACACTAACTTTAGCATCAGAGTCTCTTTTGTAGGTATCATCCTCATTTTGGAACAGCAAGCGTACTCAATGAAGGAGGCTCACCAATCTTGTCCAGCAGATCGTCCCCTACAACAGATATCTGGTAAGAACAATTTATAAAGGAGAAAAATAATTAATTTTAAATTATAAAAAAAAGTTATTTTTATTTTTTTGATTTGCTATGAAATTTATCTAAAGGTGGTAATGGAGGTACTCCTTTAAAGTTTCAATTTCAACATCACCCAAAACGGTCCATTACAATTTCGGCAATTATGACTTCCATTCTCATTCTGTATAATTAACGATCCAAGCTTCACCTCACTTCCCCACACACTCTCTATTCCCATGGACAATGTCTCCCTCTACCTCTCATCATGCTTTCTCCTCCTCCTCTTTTACACAACTCCCGCACGTGCCGACCTTCCCGGCACGTGGGAGCTTCTAGTCCCGGACGCCGGCATCGCCTCCATGCACACGGCCGTGACGCGCTTCAACACGGCGGTCCTCCTCGACCGCACCAACATCGGCCCGTCCCGAAAACTGCTCCCGAAAGGCCACTGCCTGAAGCGCGACTGCTACGCCCACTCCGTCCAGCTGGACCTCGCCACGAACGAACTCCGCCCCCTGAAAATCCTCACCGACACGTGGTGCTCCTCCGGGCAGTTCCTCCCCGACGGCACCCTCCTCCAAACCGGCGGCGACCTCGACGGCTTCAGAAAAATCCGAAAATTGGCCCCCTGCAACCGAACCAGTTTCTGCGACTGGGAGGAGCTAAACGACGTCGAATTGTCCCAAGGCAGATGGTACGCCACCAACCAGATTCTCCCAGACGGATCGGTTATTATAGTTGGAGGAAGAGGGTCCAACACGGTCGAGTTTTTTCCACCAAGAAAAAACGGCGCCGTTTCCTTTCCCTTTCTATCCCAAACGGAAGACACGCAAATGGATAACTTATACCCCTACGTCCACCTCCTCCCAAACGGTCACCTTTTCGTCTTCGCCAACACCAACTCCGTCATGTACGATTTCACGCGCCACCTCATCGTCAAGGAGTATCCTAAGCTCGAGGGAGGTCCCAGGAATTACCCTTCGGCGGGGTCGTCGGTAATGCTGGCCTTGCAAGGGGACTATTCCGCCGCCGAGATTGTCGTATGCGGCGGGGCTCAATACGGTGCGTTTTTGATGCGGAGTACGGACACCCCGGCGCACGGTAGCTGCGGGAGGATATTGGCGACCTCGGAGAATCCCAAGTGGGAAATGGAAGACATGCCGTTTGGGAGAATCATGGGGGATATGGTTATGCTTCCGAACGGCGACGTTTTGGTTATTAATGGGGCCATGTCTGGGACTCAGGGGTTTGAGTTGGCGAGTAACCCGTGTTTGAATCCGGTTTTGTATAGACCGGACCAGCCGGTTGGGTTGCGGTTTATGGTTTTGAATCCCGGTTCGGTTCCCAGGCTGTATCATTCCACCGCGAACTTGTTACCGGATGGGCGGGTTTTGCTGGCGGGGAGTAACCCTCACGTGTTGTACCGTTTCGACGCGGAGTTTCCGACCGAGTTACGAGTGGAAGCGTTTTCGCCCGACTATTTGAGTGCGGACCGGGCGAATGTGAGAGTGGTGATTGAGGAGGTGCCCGAAACGGTGCGTTTTGGGGGGAGTTTCGATGTGGTGGTGTCGGTTGGTTTGCCCGTGGTGGGGATTGTGGAGGTGAACTTGGCGAGTGCGCCTTTCGCCACGCACTCCTTCTCGCAGGGTCAACGTTTGGTCAAACTGCCCGTTACCTCCGCCGTGCCTGACGGCGACGGGAGGTACCGGATCGGGTGCAGGGCTCCGCCCGGCGGGAGGGTGGCGCCGCCCGGGTACTACATGGCGTTCGCCGTGAACCAGGGCGTGCCCAGCGTGGCCAGGTGGATACACGTGTCATAATTTCGAAAAGTTTGATGTGGTTTTGGAAATGTGTTTATTTATTTATTTATTGTTTTTTATTTTTGGGCAAGTGGGAGATTCTGCAATTGTTAATAAGTAAGAAGTAAGAATGGAGAGTGTGGATGGTGAATAGTAGCAGCAGGGAATTTAGCTGGTTTAATGAATGTGATTTTTAATTTGGTGGTGCTAAATACCAAGCAAAAAGTAATTGTTTTTTAGATAAAGCGATTGTGACAGGTGCCAAAATATATTAACATAATTGGTTTTGTTTGGTCCATGGGGTCTTAATCAGTGTCTTCATTTTCTACTCAACCCTATATATATAAACAATGCACCAACAAAGTGAAACACAATTTATTGTGCATGTACTTTAAAAAAAAATAAAAATTAGTGAGAAGTAATTTTTTTTAACATAAAATAATCTCTTTTGAAAATTTAGCACACATTGAATAGACAAGTAAATATCTCATTTTAGTTTAAATTCGCAAAAATCAAAATTCAAACTTGGATCCCTTGACACTTATTTTCATATATTTTTTCATCACTTAAAAAATTTTATTTTACCTTCGGTTTCTACTATCTTACAAAAATATTTTTAGAAGTTCTAAAATTTAGCTAGCATGTTACATACTCACAATTCAAATACAAGTAAAAAAGAAGAAAAAAATATCCTAAGAATTATGATACACCTTTTTTTCTAGATAATGATTCTGGAGTAACTTCCATGCATTATGCATTGCACTAAGCTTCCAATTATGTTTCGAGGCAAGAAAAGCTGGTGGAAAGCGATTATTCACGTTTGAATAGTCTCATGGGATCAAGGACGGAGCCAAGGGGACCTACGGGTGCCACGGCCCCCCCAACAATTTTATTTTTTTTTATATACATATATATTACTATATGACACAACTTAAGAAATAAAGGTACATACTTGAATAACTTGATCTTGCAATATGTTCGATATATTTATCAAATGTAAATATGAGAAATAATTTTTATTAAATTATGTTAATTATTATCTAGTTTTGTCAGATAATATGCTTTTGATACTTTAATTTTCATTTATTATAAATTATATATTATTTATTCTCGGCCCCCCAGTATTGAAATCCTGGCTCCGTCCCTGCATGGGATGCGATGATTGCTTCTTAAAATGACTTTTGGGACCGAAGTGTTTTTTTGTTCTTCATTTCTCTGAATTCTTGTTAATTATCCCAAGTTCAATAGCAAATGGAATAATATGTTTCAAAATTAAGACTGTATATATCACATATAACTACATGCATAATTTTTCCTATTTGCTTATTTTGTAATAAATTTATTTGCCAAAATTTTCTTTCTATATTTTTATGATTAGTTTTTTTCATAAATATTCTAATTTAAACAGGATAAGACAATAAATCTACAGGTGTATTTTAAGATACTAAGAATTTAAAATTAAATAATTTTTATTTAAATTAATATATTAAATATGATATTTTTAATTATTTTTAAAAATTTTAATTAACATTCTTAAAATAATTAGTTATAAGCATGACTATAACAACCACTAGAATCAAGTTAGTAATTAAAAGAAGGAGTTTAATCAATATATGATGAAGATTTATATTTGATCTTCATCATTATCTTTATTATCTTTTGATATGGATCATTATCTTTGTAATCTGAATAATTTTTTTTTTTAAATTCAATGCTTTAAAATTGAGTTAATTTTTAAATAAATTAAGAGAAAATATACAGCATTGAAAAATGAATTTGTGTAAAATAAATAATATTAGTTTGGCGAAATAATATTTTACTATAATATAACTTAGCATTCTTTTTAATGAAATTCTTTCTATCTTTTGCGTTACTAAACTCTTAAAATTTAAGTTATGACAAATATTTTATAACTAGCATTTGAACCAGAGTTGATAATTTTGAAACCATACTTAAATATTTTCTGAAACATAAAAAAATAGTTAAACTAAATATAATTAAAATTATGTATTTTATTTTAATTTTAAGGAATTTAATAACTCAAATAAATAAAAAAACTTAAGAAATAAGTTATAAAGGCAGGGAATATATGTAACTTTTTTTTTAATAAATATGGTAATACACCCTATAAGTTTAACTTAATTTGAATAATTTTTTTCTTTTAAAATGTATATTTCTACCTGTTGTAAAATTTAAAAATATTTTTAATAATTATATACATGCATTTTCTCAAAATGGTGACTGATGAGATATAACTAGATACGTAGCATAAAATTACTCAATAGTATAACGAAATTTATTCTTAAAACAATATAAAATTTATAAAGACAAAACTTATTGAAGAGAAGTACAGTATTAAATACCAATCTCGAAATCGAATTCCTAATATTTAATTACTGATATTTTAATTTGTACAATACATATTTATTGTATATATAATTAATAATTATAAAAATTTATATAAATAAATATTATTTTTTAATATATAAATTGTATTTAAATTTTTTATAAATATATATTTTTAAATATATAAATTATATTTTAGATTTATGATAAATAATTTATATTATATTAATTTTTTATTTATTAATAATTTATTTTAAAAATATTAATTTTAATTTATTAATAATTATGATAAGTAAAAATCAAATTAAATAAGAAATTAAAAGAATTTTTAAAAATCCTATTATCAACAAAAAGTCCCTAAAAATGTTCTCGTCTAAGAAATAAGTTTATGCTTTATGTAACATCCTATTTATAAAAAAAATAGAATAATTAGAATATTATAAGAGAAACATTTTATTAATAAAAATAAAATGGGGAGAGGTAAATCAGAAGATTTTGGGCTGGACTCTATGCCTAACTTGGAGACTGGTTCAAAAGAAGAAAATAGAGAGAATGTTAAGTCATTATGCACTTTTTGCAAAATCCAGAGAACTCACAGGAAAGAACTTAAAGGAAACCATAAGGAGAAACACAAATTAACGATATGATAAGAGTAGAGAGATTGTCAATTCCTTTGGACATGTGTGAAGGATAAGAATAGGGAGACTATCCCTAAGACGCTTAAGTTGATGAATTTAATTTATGTAAAGACGTGGAAATTAATTGATAATTGACTCCTAATTTACTCTATGAATTTGTGCTTTGATTCATGTTGTATTGACATATATTGAATTGAAATGGTAATAGATAAATTAGAGCTTTTGATTTGGTTGAATGTTTTGCATGATTTGATGATAATGAACGATATATGAGTGATAAACAAGTATTTGACTAATTGAGTTGAGAATTAAAGTAAAAGGATGTGTATGGATCTAT